GAGATGGATCGGCCAGGTGGCATCATTGATGGACTCAGGTGTGGCAGCAGTAGTGAGGTTGGCCCAGGATCGAACATTGTTTCGTTCTGCTGTGCATAGGGTCGCTATGAGTCGGTTCCGACTCGATGGCACCTGACAACAACAACAACAACCTGATAGGGTACTGGTGTAGCACCGTAGGATAAGCATTGAACTGCAAACTGCAAGGTCAGTGGTTCAGACCCACCAGCCACTCCTCAAAAGCCCTATACTTGGTCTCCGTGAGTCAGAAGTGACTCAGTTGCTCTTGACAACAACAACTAACATAGCAAATTATAGTTTGTTGATTAATGAAGACTTGTTGTTTTGTGCCAAAGTGTCCAATTGTGACTCATAGCAACGCAGTAGGACAGAGTAGAATTGCCCCATAGCATGCCTAAGCCTGAGATCTTCATAGGGGGGTTCTGGTGTGGCATTGTTGGATAAGCACTGGACTGCTAACCTCTTGGTTGGTGGTTCACACATACCAGTTGCTCCTAAGAAACCCTATACAGGGTCGCTGTGAGTCAGAACTGACTCAACAGCACTTAACAGCAACAATCTTTATAGAGTCTTTTCTCCCATTGAGCAGTTGGTGAGTTTGAACCCCTACCCCCGTCTTTTGGTTAGCAGCCAAGCACTTAACCATTGTACCACCAGGGCTCCTTTAAAGAGGATTAGTATAGCAAAATACCATATATAATATGTATGGTGTATTTTTTATCTTTTTTTATTTTATGTTACACTTAAATAGTTTTTGGGAAAATAAATACATTCTTCAGAGGACATCTCTACAGTATTCATAAGAAAAAATATTCTGTGCTCTCAAGTTCAATCAGTTCCATAGTAGAATTCCTCTAAAACTACCCAAGTCCTGAACTTGACTTCAAAGATAAATCCAAGATCCCTTATCTCATTTTCTCTGGAACCTACAGTCAGTTTCATGTTATTCATATTTTTTTGCCTTTTGAGTCGATTTCAACTCATAGAACCTTATATACAACAGAATGAGAGATTGTCCAGTCTTCCCCATAGTTGCCAGCATGTTCAAATCCCACAGTCAATTTTACTCTTTAATCAAAGAGTTTTGGTTTTATATTCATTGACCATTGACTACTTGCCAGGAAGATTGATGCAGAAAACTTTGAATTAATTCATTCCTTTCCAGGCCACATTTTATTTATATCTCTGCCCTTAGATTCTAACTTCCATGGGTATTGACTAGTTAATCTAGGTAAGTGATTCTAAGCATCTATCCATCATCTAACTGTTTTTAATTCAGAGCTTGCCTGCCTTTTGTCTTTGTTTTTCTTTTTTCTTTAATAAATTCTAAAAATGTTATTCTTCGTCTCTACTTTCATCGAGTGCACATTTTAACTGGCTGGCTCTAAAAGAAGTGATCACTATCACTATCACAGAAGCTTAATATTATTTTCCTGCTCTAGCAAACATGTATAAGAAATAGGCTAAATTTATTTGGGGGTATAGAAAAATCATCAGCATTATCACCACTGAAGATTATCCTTGCATTTTATAAAGAATAACAAAATGATAATTTGTGTGTGTGTGTCATAAAATCTGTTTAGAGTGTTGAAGTTGAAACAGAATAAAACTGATGAAAATTTCAACTTTTGGTTTCTTACTAATGAAGGAGAATAGTAGTATAGATAATACACATGACAGATGTTCAGAAATAACTTCTACTTGGCTTTGAAATAGATTGTGCAACTTTTCAAATTTTTCATTCCTAATTATATTCTTTCGGTTGTTTTGTTTAATATTCACATTGTTTACATTCCTTAAGGATACAGCAACTGATAGCAGAGGCTACAGGAAACTAAAAGAGAGGAAACAATTATTTAAAGTATTTGATGGTTGCTCTGTATATGCTGCTGTCGTTGTTAATTGCCATCAATTCAATTCTGACTCATAATGATCCCACATGTGCAGAATTGAACTGTATTCCATAGGGATTTCCAGGATCCAAGTTTTCAGAAGTAAGTCACTAACTAGTCCTGTCTTCCTAGACACCTCTGGGTGGGTTCAAGCCACCAGCGTTTTGGCTAGTTGTCAAGTACTTAACTACTTGCACTACCCAGGGACTCCGTGTTCCATATAGACGTGTATGCAGCTGAGATAGTTAGTTGAGAATTAATGGTATTGATTATAGTTGGCAGAGTCCTGGTGTTTGTTGTTGATAGGTGCCATGGAGTCGGTTCTAACTCTTAGAGACCCTGTACAGGGTTTATGAGGCTGTAAATCTTTACAGGAGCAGAAAGCCTAATCTTTCTCCCATGGAACAGCTGGTAGTTTCAAATCGCTGACCCTGAGGTTAGTAACCCGATTCGTAACCACTGTGCTACCAGAGCTCCTGTGGATTAATGCACTGGACTTCGAAGTTGGTTTGCACTGCAAGGTTGGCAGTTCAAGCTCACCAGCTACTTCTCATAATCCCTATACAGGGTCACTATGGGTCAGAGCCAACTTGATGACACTTAACAACAACAGCAACTATGACATTACAGTTGGCGGTGTCCTGGTGTGGTGTTGTGGGCTAATGTGCAGGACTGCAAAGTCGGTTTGAACCACAAGGTTCAAGCACACCAGCCACTCCTTGTAAACCCTATACAGGGTTGCTGTGGATCAGAACCAACTTGATGGCACTTAATAACAATTATAGTTAGACAAATTATTTCTCTTGACTTTTTCTGTTGAAAAGTGACTTTTGTGAAAATGCCATCCTGAAGAACAAAGCACATCTGATTTCCTAATGAGTAAAATTCTAGCCTGAGTCCTTTGAAACTATTAAACACACATAACGTACTGAGGGAAAAAATACATGGTTACTGAGAAGAGGTAATATAATGTCCTTTTTCAAATTATATCTTTTTTTTTCTCTTTCCTCCACTGTCATTGGTCACGCAGAACAAGCTGACTGACCTGGAGATACTTGCTTTGCTGATCGCTGCACTGAGCCATGATTTGGATCACCGCGGTGTGAATAACTCTTACATACAACGGTAAGGGGTTTTCCCCAGCAAAACAATGTTACTGTTAAATTATAGGGCTGTATTTCTTTTCTTTTCTTTCAACTTTTTATTGTGAATTGAGTGAAGGTTTACAGAGTTGTACATTCAACAAATCATATTATTTTGCTTCATTACAATGATTGTAGTCCCCTGCATGTCGCATCAGTTAACAGTATTCGCCTTTATTCAGTTTAACTCTTGCATTCCTCTCTGTGGCTTCCACCACCTTCATCTTCCCTTGCCAATCTCCTACTTGTTGTATATTGCCTGGCCCATCACCAAGTAATATACATGTGTCTGCTACCTAACCTGTGAGTAATTTCCCTCCCCCGCCCCCATAACAATCATAGAATGTTTTGTATATCGAGATGTGCAGGTATATTAAGGTTTCCCTATAATTGATTCATTTTTTAAAATCTGTTTTACCTTGAAACCTACTTGTCTTCCTTGCCTTTTGGAAATTTTTGATCTACACTATAACTTCTTTTTGCTATATAGTTGGCTTCATTATAAATTGGTAACTCTGGTTCCCTATTTTTAATCTTGTGGGTTTGTTTTAATTATTTCTATATCTGGATTGCATTCTGGGTGGTATGGTAATCTCAGATTGTTGTCTGCATTGATGGTTCTCAATCCAAAGAACACCCTTTAGTATTTTTAATAAAGTTGGCCTGGTTATTACAAATTTCTTAAATTTCTGTTTATATCAAAATGTCTTAATTTTCCCTTCCTGTTTTAAGGACAGCTTTGCTAGGTAGATAATTCTTGGTTGGCAATTTTTTTCTTCCAGAGTGTTGTACATGTCATCCCATTGCCTTATTGCTTGTATTGTTTCTGTTGAGAAGTCTTATTGGTTCTCCTTTGTAAGTAACTCTTCATGTTTTCCGAGCTGCTCTCAGGATTCTTTCCTTTTCTTTGGTTTTAGAATGTTTGATTATGATATGTCTTGGTGATTTTCTTTTGGGATCATTCTGTTTGGGGTTTGTTCTGCTTTTTGTGTGCTTATCTTTTCATCTTTCATGATGTAAGGAAAGTTTTCTTCCTACAACTCTTTTTAATTTTCTCTATGTTTTTTATTTCTTTTCCTTTTCTGCAATTTTGATCACCCCTAAGTATTCTTCTTCATGGTATCCCACAAAACTCTTAGACTTTCTTTGGATTGTTTCATTCCTTTTTCTGATTGTTCTTCTAGCTTATTAGTACTTCAAGTCTTCTCCTTTGTTTTCTCAATGTATTGTCCACTTCTGAAATCTTAATATTAATCTTATGGATTTCTAATTGTATATTTTGTGTTGTTTCGAAATTTGTATTTACTTTGTCTGTTTGTTCTTGTACTGTTTTCCTGAATTATTCTAAAATTTTTCTTCCTCAGAAACGTTTTTGGCTCTGCATCTTGGTCATCTGGTCATTTGTTTGAACAATTCTCTCATTTCTTAATGTGAGCTAAAATTATCTTATATCTCTGGGACACTTTGGTGTTGTTGCATTTGTATTTAATTGGTAATTATATGCTGATGTGCTTTAGGCTGTCACCAACCATCTCCTATGGGTGTAGTTAGAAAATGGAAATACGCGGACTGTTCACTGTTTGTGCATCTCAGGTCAGACTGGGTTTGACTCGTGTTGGCTGCTGTCTATCAGATGGTGCTTTTGATCAAGTGGTATAGAAACTGGTATTGGCTCTTTAACAGTGGGTAAGCCTTCAGAGAGTATAGTTTTGACTGGGCTGTATGCTGTCTCCTGTCAGGTGGGAATGAGGAGACAACCCTCCCTAAATAGTCCACATAGACCCAAAGAAGAAACAAAACAGAAAAAACAAACAAGCAACCAATAATGAAAAACAGAAATGATAAAGGAAAAAAAAAAAGAAATAACAATAGACAACAACCAAAAAATACTTGTTGTGTTATTGTGTTGTTGTTGTTAAGTGCCGTCCAGTCGCTTCTGACCCATAGCGACCCTGTACAGGGTTTCCGAGGGGTGTGTTGTGTTATTAGGTGTCATCAAATCGGTACCAACTCATAGCAACTCTATGCACAACAGAATGAGATACTGCCTGGTCCTGGACCAGCATAAAAATCATTGCTATGCTTGAGCCCATTTGTTGCTGCCACGGTGCCAGTCCATCTCGTTAGGGGTCTTCCTCTTTTTAACAAATTCTCTACTTTAGCAATACGATATATTTTCCAGGGACTGGTCTCTCCTGATAAAATGTCCAAAGTATGAGAACCAAAGTCTCACCATCCTGGATTCTAGTAAGCATTCTGGCTGCACTTCTTCCAAGACAGATTTGTTTCTTCTTCTGGCATTCCCTGGTATTTTTAATATTATTCTCCATACTATAACTCAAATGCATCAAAAAAACAAGACAGAGAGCCTCAAACAAGTCACCAAAATTCAGAATCAGAAAATAAACCACCAGAAATGGTATTGGAACTACCCTGATAAGCAATTTAAAGAAATGGTAATTAGGCAACTTCAAAGGATTGAGAGAAAGATCAAGAAAACTACAGATGAAATTAAGGAAAACATAGACAACAAAACTATGGGGAAAAAATTGAGAAGCAAGTTGACACAATATTTGATGAAATGGGATCCATAGAAAATTAGCAATCAGAAAGCCAGAAGATTGACCCTAAGACTTCAGAAATAGGTAATACACTGAAAGGGTGAAGAAATAGAACTGAATCAATGAAAAGCCAAATTACTTAGCCTGAAGAAATAGATCTCAATAAGCCTCTGCTAGAGGAACAGTAATAATAATAAAAAGAACAAAAAAACTCAAACTTTGTTTGGAACAATATCAAGAATAACTTACATGTGATAGGAATTCATGAACAGTAAGAGACCAAAAAACAAACATGAGAATATTGTTTAAGAATTGTGGGGAAAAAACCTATTCTTAACAGTGTGGAAGACAGTCATTCAAGAAGTTGAACAAACTCCAAACAGGATAGAATACTACTAACCCCTATCTCTGCTCCACCCCCCAAAATAAACACTTTTCAAAACCAACGACAAAGAATCCTGACAGCAGCTCAAGAAAAACAAAAATTTACCTGCAAAGTAGAATTAATAAGATTAAGCTCTTGATTTCCCAGAAGACACCATGCAGGCAGGAAAACAATGGAATGACATATAAAAAAAAAACTGAAAGAAACAAATTCCCAACCAAGAATCATATATCCAGCAAAAACTGTCCATCAGCTATGATGGTGAAATTAGGTCATTTTCAGACAAACAGAAATTAAAAGAATTTGTAAAAGCCTTATAAAAATACTAAAGAGAGTGTTTTGGACAGAGAGCCAACAACAGTAGACAACAACTTGAGACTAACATACATGACAACATGACTTAGACTCAACCCAGATATAGAAGTTTGCAAAGTAAAACAGACCTATGATACTGAAAACAGAGAACCTATAAGAGATAACAGTTGTAACAACAAAACAAAAGTAAAAAGAGGAAATAATCTAGTTACAGAACTTCCAAATGAAGAGGAAATCAGATAGATTTCAAGAAAACAAATAAGTAAATAAATAAAAATAAACCTAGTTATAACCTTAAAAATTAAACTAAGGCTTATTTCTAGGCCTAGCCAAGACCTAACCATAGTCAGAATCCTCGTCTTCATTCCTTACTCTTATGTACCTGCACCCTCACCCTCCAAAAAATTTCACCCTGAAATTGAAAAAAAAAAAAAAATACTATTTGAAAAGTGTTTAACTTAGTACTTAATACTCAGTAACTATTCTATAGAAGGAGGAGGAGGCATCTAGTTTTAGTGACAATAGTGTGGCACAGAATTAGGGAACTCGGGCTCTGCAGTCAGATGTGGATTCAGATCTTAGCTTTGCCCCACAGTCCCTGTGTGACCATGGCAAGATAGCTGACCACTCTCTACCTCAATTTTCTGATCTGTAAAACCTTCATAGGGTTGATGTATGTTTTAACAGCATACTTAAATGGCAAGCTTCATGCTTGATACGTTTAGTGTTAGATAGTTGTTAGCCTCAGGTACTAACAATAATCATACATCACTTGCTCATTGGCTGATATTGGGAGTCAGATACTGGCACTTCAGAGAAGAGTTTCAGGTTCCCGTAAGGACCACACATTTGCAATGACATATGAAAAAACTCTGATATTACTTTTCATCAAATTATGAGCCACTGTGATATTTGTATTTTCTTGCAGCAATTTGACCGTAAAGCCTACATTTTAAATGTGAAATCTCTTACTACTGAGCATTGTCTAACATGTGCAAGTGATTCAATTAATGGCTAGATCTCTTAAGGAAATTCTAAATATGTGATACCTTGAGGGAATCTCAGAAAGCTCTCTAGTCAAATTCCCTTTATAATAAATGGAAAAGTTCATGTCAAAGGAACTGTAACAATGCTGACCTTTTGATGGGAAAAGAAGGCAGGCCCTTATCAGAGTGTCATCGATGGACTGTTTCCTCACTGAGATGTAATCCTGGAGAACTGACGGGGTGGCATGTCCTTTATCTCCTGTGCTTTGACATGTAATTGTGTTCTTGAACCTCACATAGACACAGTGAGTAATGATGAGAAGCCACATGGACATGAAAAGCTTGCTAGCACAGAGTCAAGCCCCATCACGTGGCCTTCCTCAGCGGCACAGCCTGCTGAGCACCGCAACCGTGTGATAGGTCTCCCTCTCCACCACAGAAGTGAACATAGTGTTATCGGTTATGGTGGTTATGTGCCGTGGAGTCAGTTCCTACTCACAGCGACCCTGTACAGGGTTGCTGAGGCTGTATTGTAAATCTTTAAAGGAGCAGAAGGCCTCATCTTTCTCCCATGGAGCAGCTGGTAGTTTCGAACTGCTGACCGTGCGGTTTGCAGCCCAATTCATAACCACTATGCTACCAGAACTCCTTTTAGTATTTATTATACATGGATTGTGCCAAGACGTTACATTGCTCTGCTTTAGAATGAAAAAATACCACTCAGCTATTTTTTCCT